AAAGTCTGGTAAATACAGATTGTCCAGGAAAGTCCAAAATTTACAAAGGCACATCAGTAGTGATAACAGGTATACACGGATGGACTCTCCTATTTCATAAAGTTTTACTTGATATGTGTAGTTCTTACATAACACTTGTGAAGTTGCTTTCACCCTAGATACCTTTGTTTTATCATTCCCTGGAGGAGATACAGTTGTACTTTGTTCATAGAAGTAGACAGCAGTGTCTTCCAATTGTAGGTCAAATGATATCTGGAAGTTCCAACCACTCTTTTTATTTTGAACAGTCAAATACATAGTGCATGTCACTCTGGGTAGTCTGACATTACCAATTTATCTACATAATACAAGTTTTAGTCAGCCTGAAATAAGATTCTGTTGCTTAATACGTGAATAAAGAGTATCTCAACGTGTTTAATACATTCGTGTCCAGTCTACTTATTTATTAGTACAGACTTGGTTAATTTTACCTTACTCTTGAAAGAAATTAGTTTTATATAAAAGTACCACAAAGAAAGCAGAAAATTTTTGATGTCATGACCTGACACACAGGATATTATAATGTTTATTCATGCACATTATTCTATTATTTGCAAGACTGAGACTGTCTGTACAAGATCCCTAGGCAACTGGTGATAGTCTGAAGTCCTCGAGAAAGTTCAGAGTAAGGCAATGCTAGTAGCATGATGTCCATAAAAATGCTCTGGGTAAAACAATGTTGGTAGTTTGGTCAATAAAATTTAGTAATGAAAACAACCCACAACACTCTTGATTTTATGAAAATCCAGAAGTATCTACTGGAGGAAAAGAAACTATCAATTAACTTTTACAACTGTTTTATACTAAATTAGAGGTTGTGTATCTTTTTTTATTAACATTATCAACAAGATCTCATTCTACCCTCTAACTTTTGAACTTCTTGCAAAAAACAACAGACCCTTTGTCAGTTTTATGATTCGAAAATGTAATTCAATTTCATTAACAAAAAACATTCTCAGTGGTTATGCTATCTTGAAAATCCAAACCAATATTTTTCAGCATTGCTAGATTCATGAAACTCATTGGAGCCGCACATCTCTCTGGCTGAAAGTCTGCATACCACCCCTCCAAGTGATTTAATTTTGTCAATAACCAATTTTCACATATTTAAGATTTCCTAAAGACGATAAAATATTAATGATTCACCGTAGTAAAACTAGTACCCAAACATTTTAGGTACAGTAAAATCATCATTGTTAAAATCATGTGCACTATGTAACTAATTAGAGCTTTCCTGAACATCCTAATTTTTTTAAACTTCTGTATGGCACCGTGCCACTGAAAATCCTATATAATTTTACTAAATATGGCACAAAATCTTACAAGTAGCTCAACTATCAGAATCATATCAATTATAGCCAATACTCAAATATTTATTATTGTGAAATTAAAGATATTTGTCTGTTAATTCTTTATGTAGCTGTTAACACGAAAGTATTATAAACATGACACTAGCTTTCTTCCTTCACTTGTTCTTTGGGCCTCGTCATCTTTCTGTTACATCTTGATTTATTTTCTAATAATGGCTGGAGACGGCTTGAGTGGGTAATAAAGAAAAACTTTAATATAACTTTAACCTAACAGCAAATGTACAACGTTCCGAAAAGGTTTTGTCACCTGATGATGACAAACCCTTGTTGAAACG